ACGAAGGACGAATTTTCGAAATGCCTATGGCTGGATGAATGGAATTAATTGGGTCTGTTGAGAACGCATCAATTCAAATTCAATCAAATGAAAATAATTTAAATTTAACTGAACCGGAAAATTGAATTCTCGTTGCTCACATTTTTTTTTGATTCTCGACTGGGATATTGACAAATTTCAACATTTTGTTGGCCAACAAAATTGTGCTGATTTTGATTACGATTAGTTTTGCATATGCAGATTAGAAATTCATTTGATGTTGCTCTAATTGCCATTTGGGCTTCATGGTAACTTTTTCCTTAGAAAAATCTTCTGATTGTGAAATCTAATAAAAAAAATCCCAATTTCAATTACGTGTTTAGCCACATTATAAGAGACCGGAAGATGAGAAAAGGTAGGATATGGAGTGACATGTTTTGGTCTCAATCTCTTGTTGTACAGCTCCAAAACCATCAAGATATCAAAAATTATAATTAAAGCAGAGTCTAAAATCAACGACTGCATTGCCTTTAATCTAATTGGCGTTCATTAAAAACAGAAACACAAATCAAAGAGCACATTTTCTTAACTCTGATTGACACTGTAAGTGCACACCTGAGTTCTCATAAACCTGAGGTGCGTGTGTAAAAACTTTGCAAAAGAACAAGTTCCGTAATAATCCGAATGACATGTAACGAACTGAAAATCCAACACCAAGGCACAAATGGAAAATGGAAACTGGAAAACGCAAGTGAGCCGATAGCAAAAGCAAACGGATCGCATTCGGAAGCCCCTGGCAAAGCCAATTAATCTTTGCTTTGAGGCACTCACAGGTGAACAATATTCGATAGACAACGGACAATAGGGAATCGAAGACGAGGCATAACAAATATGTATGCTTAATTCCCACACACACACACACACGCACACAGACACAACTGATGCGATTGCCAATGCCAATCATAATCCTTTCATATCCCCGGCATCCGTCAAAAACTATTCAACTGTGTAATGTGCTTATGTTCCGATTGTGACTACTGCGATGGATGCGATGGATGCGTTGCAATTACGGTCTATCTATTTAGTGGCACACAAATGAGAATCCGCAATCATTCCTTATGGTTCGACTGGCCATAAGCTTTTTATGTTTGACCATCGCTTATGGGGCTTAAACCGAATCGGGGGCTCCCCATTCGATGTATTCAATTTGTTTGCCTATTTTTCTTTTAGAAGCGCTCTTTTGGCTACATACTAGTTAAAGTTGTTATCTCATTTGACTATCTTTTATATTTACATTTGACCAGTTTTTCCCATGTGCTATCAATTGCATTAAGTTGAGCTTTAAGAACATTGTATAACATTGCATAAGGCGCTTATTTCAGCTGGACTGTCAGCCAGGCCTGATTAGCTGATTGTAATTTAATTTGAAACCGATATAGTTCTTACTTAAGTGTGGAATATGTTTGTGTATTTACCTAGGATTTCATGCTACTTCACTCTTGGACCCAACAATCCTAGGTCAGTGCGGGATTTGGGAATTTTCAGAGTTTAGTTTAGTTAGTGTTCTATAATCAAATGGTTCCCCATAACTACTTACTTAATACACCACATAATTATTTCGATTAGCTAACAATCAAAGTTTATCGATATATATCGAATATATGTAAATTAATAATCTATCTTCAGCAACTGAAGACTGCGAAAAGAAAACTAAACTGTTAAAATATATTTAATAATTTTAATAGCAGAGAAAAAACACTTACTATTTTAAGCATACTAAGAATGCAAATTTTCGTCTTAGAAAATTAACTTTCTAAGAAATAAGAAATAATAATATTGACACCAAAATAATAATATTGACACCAAAAACATCCAAATTTTCTTCTTGTGTATTCTGTGTGTTTTTCCCATTCGTACATTTCTTGATCCTACAGCAGTCCTGATTATCTCAACAATTTGTAATGTGACAAAGTCTCACCTGGGTGCCCAAACAACGCCCACTTTGCTTATTTGTTTTGCTTGCCAGAGCAGACAAGAGTAGATAAACAAACACGTATAAATATATATATATATATGAGGATTATACATGTGTATGAGTGGGATATGTGAGGATATATTAAGTGAAATTTAAAACTGCAAGGTTTTTTTTTTATTTTGGTGTTTGAGCTTTTTGTTGCCTTAGCGAAATTAAATTAATGACAAACAACTTTTTATTGTCTTTTCTTTTTTTTCCTTTCTGTTCGACACGCGCCGGAAATCTATCCACATCCGTTTGCAATTTTTCCATTGTTTTAAACGGGACGCGGAGAATGGGGAATAATTACAGGCATATAGAAGGCGCCTTGAAGCCATATTAAAGGCTGAGGCAGCACAATAAAAGGCTAGAGGACTCAAACCAAAGCAAGAATTTGTACTCAATTCAATTGAATCCATAGGCTCGTCAGCTGTTAACGGCCCCCTGGCAAAAGGGTCTGCAGCTATTAGGAATCGTATAACTTATGGCCAGACATGGTCAACATTAGCCCCAATGGGCCACCATAATTGACAGCTGCGCCAACACTTCACTTGACCTCGCTGGCACAACTACACCACCCACCCAACCAACCACCCAACCACCCATTCACTGCTGCTGCTCCCTCTTTTCGTGTTATTGTTGTCCATTCGTTTGCATATAAAGCATTTAGTTTACACACAGACACAATTGCATTTGGCTGACGCTGCACTGTTTGGCCGTGAAATTGTTGGCAACTGGCGACTTGGCCATGATTGAAGTTGTCCCTTGTTCTTTTTGCAGTTTGGGCTATGAATCTTATTTATTTATGATTTTCTGTGCTTGCTATAAAATATCCTCACTCGTGGTCAACTTTTTTGGCAATTTATTTAATGTCAAATATAATAGAAAAAACAAACACAATAATTAAAAAGAAAGTTGACTTAAAAGTTAAAGCAGAATAAATGCGATCTGCTTTTTGAGGGGGCAAGATCAAACAACACTTAAATAACTCATATCCCATATCCTCCAGAAAAGCATGTTTTGCCATAAATATTCCATTTGAACACCCCCTTTGAAAATGGCATTTATTATTATAGAGCCAGTTGCACTCAATTATTTACAATAGGCCGCAAATCAAATACATTTACAAACTATGCCAGCCGCCTGTAGGTAGAATATCACCTGCAGAATGGATAAAACTGCAGACACAGCCGAATAGATAATTTACACTGTCAAAATAATTTGAACATACCTAAAGTGGTTGTTGCGGCCGTACGTTGCACGTTGCATGTGGCCAGCAGCAAGCCACTTTTCGCTGAATTTGCTTGAATGCAATTTGCTTGTTTGCTGCAACCTCAATTTGTACATGCCTCGGCAAACTTCTAAAGCTTGCTCCTCAACTCTGGCCGGACCAGAAGCATGCTGGCATTCAATTAATAAATAACAAACATGGCTTCAAATTTTGTGCAACAGAGCTATTTGTGGTAAGTCGAACTTGTACGATAATAATAATAATTTGATTCTGAGCGGGATAATTGAATTAGATAGCAGCAAAAGGTGAATAAAAAGAATGCCTGAATCAGTTTAAGTTTACAGAAAATCAATCTTATTAACAAAGCAGAAATTTGAGTAGAAAATAGAAAAGAACCAAAGCAACGAGAATAAAAGCAACGAGACTCGGTAAAGTGTAAAAAATAAGGTAAGTGTAAAATATTAAGTAAGTAAGTGTAAAATATTAAGTAAGTAGAAATATATATCTGAAATATAGAAATATAACGTTTTTTCGTATATTTGGAATTTATTTCCAAGAACCTGGGAAAACTTTCTGGTTTTCCTGGACGATTTTCATTTTTAATAATATATTTTATAATAATAATATTTTTTCATTTTTAATAAGGGTTTTCTATAATTAAGAAATTTATTTTGAAAACAGCAGCTGAAAGAATAAAGTGAGAAACCAGCTGAGCAGTGCTCAACTTGCTCTAATTTTGTCTGTATTATTTATTAAAATATTTAATTATTTTAGGTTTTGCTCTACTTACAGGTATGCACAAATAAATCTAAGTATTCACATAACTTGCTGATTTAAGCTATACACACTTTATTCACATAAATCCTGAATGCTGTTATTTTAGGGCAAGAAGTCTTGATTTATTATGCTGTCTACAATTTATCTTATCAAGTTGTTGTTTAATTTGAATGGAATAAATCTGTTCAGCAGCAAAAATGTTGTTTGCTCTTGAACTTGTTGTATTCAAAGAAATTCATCTTTGCCCAAATTCAAAACTCCACGCAAAAAGACACGTACCCAGCACCAGTGCCAGTCAGTCAGCATGATAAATGTGAGTTACCTTGGCTCGGCTTTGTTTGCCTGTGTTGAAACGCCTTAAAATGTTTGCGGCTGCTTTTGCTAAGTGAACTGAAAACTTTTGCCAGTCATGTTTCTGCTTTAGACTGCACGCGAGGGTATTATAATTTTGTCACGAACTGTGTAACGCCAACAAGAACATATTGTACAATCGACTTTATGTAATTCGATGATATACAATATAAGGAAAATTGAATGAGAACTCGTTGGATTCTGAAGCGTAATACTTTGAGCTAGCACCATTTCTATATAGCTATGAAAATTCAATCTTTTTTATTAGCCTAGAAAATATCGGTTCAGTTTGAGTGAAAAATGATTTTTGGTAAAGGCATTCCAATTTCTGAGTATTTATTTTTAGTAAATAACTAACCAAACTTTGCTATTGATACATTTATTTTGGTCATTTTAAAATTGACAATTATTTTTCATTTTCAATATTAAAATAAAATCCTGAAATTGTATTTTTTTTTTTGCAAGAGTATTTAATCAGCGACAGACAAAAATATAATTCTTTCTTCAGGATTTTAAATTTAATATTTATTTTTATTTGCTTATTTATTTTGATGTTCACACACAAAAATATATACAATGCCGAGGAGTTCTGGAATGCGAATGCTTATGGAGGAGATTGGTTTATTTAAGGTGTAGTAGCTGACTCACCTTGCCATGTTGATGTCCTGCAGATGGCTTGTGCCTTCCTAGTCTGTTGTTGTTGGTGTTGTTGCTGTTATTGGTAGGGGGGCAGCTTAATTTTTGGCCTTTACTTTGGTTTGCGTTTGCACGTCCTTGAATCAGGCTTGAAATGTCATTGAGTATCCGGTCGAGGGGTGTGTTGGCATTTTCACAACGCTCAGGTCCTGGCCGCAAACTAAATCAACATTTTTCCGGCAGCACTGAGGTGGAGAGCCAACTTAATGCCGATGATGTTGATGATGCTCTGATGATGATTACCGCAGTGCTATCAGGGGCAGACACTTGGGGCAGCTACAACATCGTTTATCTCTGTCTCCGTCTCCGACTCTGTCTCTGTCTCTGCCACACTGTCTAAGTCTCAGTATTTGGATTGTAAATGTGAATACTGTACTGTGTACATATGTATACGGATGGGCGACCTCTACCTTTGCTGCTGCGTGATTGAGTTTGGATTTATGCCTTAAGTGTGGCTTGGGGATTTGTTCCACTTCGTCCTTAACACGGCCTATGCGGCGAATGCTCTACATCCACAACCACATCCACATCCACACACACACACACAGCGACATATACATTTACATTTATCTGTATCGGTATTTGTTTCGATATCCTTATTTGTTTATTCTCTCTCTCTCTTTCTCTATCTTTATTTTTGCAGAGTGTTTTGATTTCAGATTAGAGACTTTAGACAAAGTAGTTCGAACGTTTTGCTCTGTAGAAAGAAGAAGACAACAAAAATACAAACTTTTATAATAGTTGATAGCCAATCCCAAAGGTAGTCGACCCTCTCTGTGTGTGTGTGTGTGTGTAAGTGTGTGTATTTTACTGTTTTATTTGATTTGCTGTTTTCGTTTGCATTTACATTTACATAAGCATCAACATCATTAATATTGCAAGGGCATATCAATGTGTAAGCACTTTGGTTATGTGTAGCAGAATCCTTGAAGGATATTCATCACATACATACATATATATCTCTGTAGCGCTTAAGTTGCGCATTTTTCATGGGTTTGTCTGTGTTTCAGCCACTACGAAAATTGCTGGATAGAATTGCTTACATTTTTCTATTCAGTGGCCGCAGTGGTTAATATTTATATTGGTACATAAATAAAACAGTTACAACTGGCTGATTGATTGACTGACTGCCCAAACCCTTAAAGCTACTAGCAAATAGATATACGAAATACATTTATACATTTTCACAGTGACTTTCCTTTGAGAGTTTGTCTCGCAAATGTCAAAGCTTTTATGGAAAATACTCGACTAAAACGCTAACAAACTGGCATAATTTAGTAATTTAAAAATTTATAAAAGAGAAACATTTTACTGAATAAAAATGAATAAAAGTATAATAAAATATAACGGAAATTATTTGATATGTTTTCCCTAATCCATTAGGAACCAACTTGTACTTCAGTTGAGTTGAGCTATGTACATTATTTTAGTCCCTTTCAAATTATATGTGACAAAATAATGTACATTTCATGCACTCTGTCAAGCAACACCTTTTTACTGGGTCATCGCTTGATTTGTATTTTCGCTGGAAGCGTTTCCGTTATTTCATTTCCGTAACGAATTTGATGCGGCTTACATTTATCATACGCCGCGTATTCTGCCACTTTACGCTTGCAGACACACACGCAACACACACAACACACGCAACACACACAACACACGCACACATACACACACATCGACACACATAAATCTCCCTCGTTTGGCAATTGTCATTCAAATGGCAAATGCAATAATAATTCGCAGCTCAAACAACTTTGAGGCAAACTGGCAAGATCCGACAGCTCAATGGGGGTTGTGGGTTGGGGATGTGATTGGGGTTTAGCAGGGGATGTGCATTCGTCATGTTTATCGATTTGATTTGTTTGTTGTTTTAGTGTTTGTTTGCATATTCGAAACGTTTATCATGCTCAGGTTCATGATTGATTATAATATGCTTATCGATTGACACTCCTTACCGACCCCCACCCCTCCATCCCTTCCTTGCTCCCTCGATTCCTTGAGCCAACTAATCGAGCTTTGCCTGCAACTCAAGAACCGCCGTCTGGCGGCGCAATGAAATGTGAAAGGGCGTCAAAACAATGCATGTTCCAAGGGTAAATTCCCAGTAAAAAACAGCCCCCTTGGCGGAACCACACCCCTCCCCCGCCACGCCCCCTCTGAAATGTGTGGCAACACTTTTTTATAGCTTCTGTGCTTTCACCCTGTGCTGTTGGGAGTGGCGTGTGTTATCAGCTGTTTGCTGCTCTTGTTATGACTATGGCGGAAATGTACAAGCAACAGCAAAACATGCAAAAAAAAAGAAGAATGAAACTAAATAAAAATACAGGAAGAAGGCAGAAGGCGAACGGAAGCGATGCCAAGCAACACTAACACACTAGCCGATAAAAATAAATATATACACAGAAAAACAATACAACAATGTGTGTAGCAAAATAGCAACCGAAATGCGAAACAAAACTACAACAATAACAAAATATACACACATATCTAGTAAAACGGCAGCAACAAAAAACAATGGCGGCTCCGATGGCGCAAAAAACAAAAAAACAAAAAAAAAAAAACGAAATAAAAAGGGAACGGCCGCCGCCCCTCGACAAACAAAAGGCCGGAAAAGGCTTTGGGGGCGCCGCTAGACTTATCAACAAAAGCAAAAAAGAAGTAAGAATGCTCTAGTTGGGAGTGCTCGGCTAGCAGATACCCTATATAAATATATTCCTTACGAGATGAAAAAAGTACATAGAAAACTACTACAGATAATCTACTATATAATAGTATATGGTATGCTAATTGGTAATCGATTTTTATCGATATTTCAGAAACGTGTACTGTACTGCCAGCTGAAAGTGCCTACATCGACTCAGCTGTTGATCAGGCTTCTATATTTAGTTTAATGATTGAGAAAAACATTCTTCAGTTATTCATTCGTGTTAAATAAATCTGCACAACATCATAATACCCTTTGTTTACCAATTATTACTGGGTACAGGTTGTAAAACCATAAAACAACAAAGTGCAAACCGCTATTACAAACAAGTATAAATGAAAGGGGTATTCCCTCAATAATCTTTTGTTTTCAGTTAACCTGAAAACTATGTTCAATGACAATTTTTAAATTATTTTTTAAATGTTACAAAAAATTGCAGTTAAGAGCAAATAAAATAAAGGTTTAATATTGGGAATATCTATAAAATTAAACTATAAGAAATATAAAGATATTGAACATGTATTTAATTAGGAATACCCCTACTAAATTGTCGATTGTGTATAAGGGCGAAAAAGGCTGTGCGGCAACGAGGCACTCCCTTCTTGCGGCCCAGAACAGCTGCCATGGCAAACAACAAAACAACGACTCTATCAGACACACACACACACACGCATACACACACACACACAAACACACATACACTCACACACGCACATACACACACACTCACACACACACATACTTTGGGTGTTTGGCTGTCGCTTTTTGTTAGCTTTGGCTCGCGAATCGTGCCGTCCACCAGTGGAATTGTCGGAACAATGCACCCGCTTATTAGTATGCAAAACTGATAATCAATACTGAGTACTCGATACCCAATGCTCAGTTGGAAAGTGCTGCTTTATGGTGCAATTGCATACGTGCAACGGGACTGTTCATACCCCCCATCCCGCCCACCCATCGCGGTAATTCTTATTTCTGAGCCTGAGCAACTTGTGTGCAGTTTGTCTCGTCCTTTTCACATTTGTTGGGAAGTTTATGGAAAAAATATGACTGTTTGTTGTTTTGTTTACTTTCAAACAACACCTCGACCAACATGTCGAGAGCAAACATATCGTGTGGGCCAACATGACAGCGCTTTAAACATCCTGTCAGCCCCAAGCTTTTATACCCGGAAATTTTAAGCTGATGCTGACACACAATATGTATATTGTGAACAGTGAACAGAAATGGACTTCTCTATATATATATAAACATATAATTTTTAATAAAAGAGCCGTAGGAACTTTATGCATCATCATTACGATATGCACTTTCTAATATTGTTTTAAAAGTTTTACACATCTCAGATATTCAAAAGAATACATTTCAAACATGATATTGCTGAAATTTCAACTGATGATCAATATTATCCTTCGGTATATTCATAAGCAATATGGAATATATATACTACTACGAATATAACTAAAAGTTGTTCTCAAAGTTGTTTAAGTTAATAATTATTGAAAATTTGAACTGATAGAAACAGTATTAATTAGTTTCTCACAGATGAAGATTCCCAAGTTGGTGTTTTATTCTTTTTACGTTCCATTTCATTGTATTTACTTATTTATTTGAATATTAGATTGTAGATACTATTATTCTAGAGTTTCTTTAGCACAAAATATATATATATAAATCTCGAGTCAAGAAACCATTTAAATTTCGCGTTAATAATTAAAAATAAACCAAAAATAGTTCCTAACAATACCAAAAAAAAGATTCTTGTACTTTTGTAAAGCATAGTTTTAAACGTAAACGAAACCAAATACGATAAGAATAAATAATAAATTGTTAGCCATAAAAAGCATTAAGGCGCACTAAGAAATGAAAATAAAGTGTGAGCGCTTAAGCCTCAAAGCTTTGCCAGATGACTGATAGACCACATAACACAAGCGGATCAGCATTTTTATCGATTTGAGTTGAGTAAGCCTTTCAGCTGAACAGCATGCAATACATATATATACGTATATATATACAATATATATATATAAATATATATGTATATACAGCTAATATAGGATTATTGCACCTTAACACACACACACACGCTACACACACTATATATGTAGATGGGTGCTTCAGTCTGGGAAACAGAAAACGTAGCATACTTATGGGCGCTCTCATTGTACAATAAGACGCTTGTTAATAGTATAGAGCAGAGCTACGTGCAAATGGCCGCAGAATGAAATAAACATAGGCACAGCCCATTTAACACACTCACACAAACACACACACACACCGTCGCACACACGTCAAGTATCAAATATAGCCCCAAGTGGCCAGGGCCAAGACATGAAACCTGAGCATGACTTGGAGTTGAGACTAAAAATGGGTTTTGAGTTGACGTATGCTTGTTATTGTTTATCCCCCATGTGTGTGTGTGTGTGTGTGTGTTAGTCATGTGTTGTTGTTGTTTGTTGTTGTTGTTGTTGTTGTTGCTAGTCTTGTATATGTTACAGTTGTTTTTTTATAATTACTTTGCAAATGGAGGCTACGCCGCATGTGTTTGTGTGCTGTTTGTGTGCTTTGCGCATTGTTGTTAAAACGGTAATTTAATTAACATGCATAACACACACACACACACACACACACACACACACACACACACATACACACAACGACATTCAGCATGTGGACAATGTTACACTTACAAAGCGATTGACGGGTTGCCCTTTAATCGATTTTTGACTTAATGTTTATGTTTCTTTCTGGTTTCGGCGTAAAAATAAATAATTAAAGCTTCAATGCTATTTATACACACACGTTTATATTTCCTTATTTTCAGGCATTATTTTGCTTATGTATTTTAAATAAATTCCATTTATATATTTATTTATTTTAGCATATTATTTGTATATTTATATTATGCATATGTTTTCAAACAGCATTTGATATTAAAGATCTAATTCAAGTTATTATTTTTAATAATTTTGATGCATTTCAATATTTATTTATAATTTTTAATTAATATTTACTAATATCATATTTATATATAATTTTTTTAACTTATTCTGTTATTTATTTATTACATATTGTTATTTTATGTTAATACAATATGGGTTATTGTTATTTAATGAATATTAATGCGGGGAATTGTTATATTTTTACAAGTACATAATTTACTTTATATAAATTTATTTTTGTAATATTTTAGCACAGAACACACAACGAAAATGATGCCATATTTATTTATAATTAACTTATTTTAAAGCACACGCCGCATGCCGCAAGTTGCACGTTGCACGTAGCACGAGTGCGAACGTAAGCGACAAACAACCGTTATGTGGCGCGTACCGCGAGCGAATAACAAACAATGCCACCAAAAAAATACCTGCTACCAAAATTGCGAACAGTGTTGCCGTGCGGCAAGTGACGCATGCGCCCCGCCACACTGAGAGCCAACAGTTTTTGCGCCTCCCAACGGAAACATCTGTGTTTTTGTTATGCTTAACCTTTGAGGGGGTGGCCGAGGCGGCGGACGGGGGGCGCCTTATGTGTTGGCACTGCTAAGACATTTCCCGGAAACGATGCAGCAACAACAATTGAATTGCGTGTAACAGTTATGTCAATTAAGTAGCCACAAAAGTCTCCATTTTCCCTCACAATTGACAGAAATAACTGGAAAAGCAAAGCAGATTAATTTAAATGAAGAAACGAAGCAAACACATTTGCTGAGCTCCCATTTGCACATGTATGTGCAGCAGGCAGGCAGGCAGGCACTCTGTGGCACATTCCATGACTTAACATTGAGTCTAATGTCAAGGTTTCCTCGTTGTCGATTCTTCAAATGCGCTGGCACGTGGCCACGTGGGGCAAGGCAGCCACTTAGCCAGCAACTTTCGGTGGCGCGCCTTGGCAGCCAACACAGGCAGTAGCAGCAAGCAGCAAGCAGCAGGCAGCAGTCACCAATCACGACGCTCCTCTGTCACATGCAGCGCTCAAATAAAAACAACAAAAAAATACATAAAAAATGAAGAAAAAAAAACAATAAAAACGCTGCAATCGGAATCATTCGACTGCGTAATACCCTTCTTCCACTGAAAATAATTATATACTCTGAATAACTTTTCTTCAACACAAATAAATTGTTAATTTTAATACCAGACTATTTATTAATGTTTTATTAACTCTAAAAGTTGACTTGAAGGCTTGAATTATAATTTATTTTGCAGGCCCAAAAATTTTAAATGAAACAATAATAAAATAAAAGAAAGGCTATCATAAGTCTGTCCATTTTTTGAATGGATTAGGGAAAGCTACAAAATGCCATTCATAATGAAATCATATTTTTCGATCTCGATTTGTTCAAATCGGACCCAAACGTCTCTCAAATCGGTGATATCAGAGTATAAAAATCGCAACGTCGCTGAAAGCGCTTATCCAGTGTCAAGTGCATGAGGGCAATAGGCAAAACTAAAAAGAAAATGTAAAAAAGAAAAACCGTGGGGTTCTCTAAAGTACATGGATGGGGCGAGGAGAGGAGCGAATTGCGAAAAGGGGTTTGCACTTAACATGAAACGTGGACGAGCGTTGCAATTGATGCCATTGCTGTCCCGACTATAAACTGAGCTACCAGGAAATGGGCGTATCTATATTTTATGTGTCGTCAATTGCATTTCGCTTATATAACAACTAACCCCTTCCTCTCCATTCTCCCTGCATTCACAAAAGCATAACGCTGGCCAATTACCGCCTCGGTGCGCTTAGTTCGCTTTGCCATCCAGCTGAAAATCAATTTGTGCCCATTTGTTGTTTGAGTTCGTCCTTCAGACGGCCGCAAGTGCTCAATTTCAACATGCATATGCACATTAAGTGTTAATTGAGCCTTTTATCTTCAATTATCGAAAGCAATGGGGCAAATGATTATGGATATTGCAATTTGTTGAAAAATGCAATTTGATTCCATTTGATGCCTTAATTGCTTTGATTGCAATTCTTTGCCTCAATTACAACTCTATTTTATTGTGACTACCGTAAAATAAGTTTTTTAACCGTATATCGATTGAAGAACATCATTTTTTGATCTAAAAATTAAATAAAATCTGAAGAAAAGCAAGGTGGCAAATACTACTATATCTCAGTTTTATCAATACAAATACGAGAAAGGCCCGACAATTATAATCAATAATAAATAGCCTTAAAGAAAGTTATGTAAAGCATAGCATAGTATTTTCAATAGTCTTAAGAATTCTCACAAAATAAACTATAAATAAAATATGCAAATATAGAGAAATCCTCTATGGAGAAATCCTGCTCCGACTTCTTTAAGGCACCACAAAAATCAGACGCTCATTCAAAATGTCCATAACTTATATAGTTACAATCTTCAAGATTTTCTCATAAAAAAGTCGATCGATATTTACAGATTTGTATAATTTCAGTAATGTAGTAAAGCAATGTGAAAGAGATTACACAGTCTTTGTAGATGTTTCAGTTTTATATTTATTCATTGTGAACTATTCCTCGAGCTTAAAACTATAAATTAATTACATAAGTGTGTTGTTGGGTTTACTAATTCTAAGTGGCAGACGAACGAGTAAACTCGACTTCGAAATCCAAAAAACCAATTCCAATTAGGAGGAGGATATATTCAATTTAACAGCTGCTGGTTTTGTCGTTGTGGATGATTGTTTATATATAGATATCTTAAGGAACGAGCATTGATGTGTATTTATGCAATTATTGTTGGCGATGAATTAATGCCACAAACAAAATACTTTAAATGGGGGCGAGGGCGAGGGTGAGGGGTTAACAGAAATGCGTACATAAATTAGCTAAAAATATTATTTTAAAATAGGACACAAACACACAACACGCTGGGACAAATACGATTGTTTACCACGTTTTGGGCAAACTGAATACGCCATAACGGTCATGGGCATCAACGCCGCGCACGGCAAAGAAATAGCGCTGATTCTCCTGGAACTGATTCAGGGTTACGGCCATCGGCAGCAGCATGGCCTTCACATCGCCCACATGACGCCAGGAGTCGGTGCTGGGCTCATTGATCGTCTCCTGGTACGCATAGATTTGATAGGTGACGCATTCGGCAAACCGACTGCCCGTATCCTCCAGTGTCCACGAGATAACAATGCCAGTGTCATGCAAACTGATCCGTATAACGGGTCGCGATGGCGGCAGCCTCCAATCCGGATGAAACGTTTGCGCCGGCGCCAATGGCAATGGTGCCGGATGCGTGGATCGACCGCGCCCTCCACTCGGCGGCGTATTCTCCGAACGTATCTGCATCGTCACATTTGTGCCAACCGAACCGCGTTGACCTGTCAACAAGATGGGTGTGTTATGTGTTAATTTTTGCTTTAAAGAAATGCTAAATTAATAGTTGACACTTGCAGAAAATCAGATAAAATATTTATTGACAAAATCTGAGCATATTAAATGGAAGCTGATCATATTTGCTGTGCTGCTCAGAGATTAATTGCAAGTGCTGGCAATAACAATTAAACGAAGTCTACTTTTTCATCTGATAATTCCAAGTGTGAACACAAATTTTGTTTGTTAATTTACCTGGACCATTGTTGCTGACAATCTGCCGGGCGACGGCATTGGCACGTGGCATATTCATTGGCGATACACGGACCACACTGCCAGCCACTGGCCGTGCTCCGCCCACAGGCGTCGTCGCTTGCATGTTGCGCTTCACGGACACATTTGAACCTGGCCGGAGACGTGCAGTTGCTTCCGCGGCTGCTGCCGCCGCAGCTGCCGCCGCATCATCCTCGTCAGTCAGATCGATGACAGCCTTTTCTTTGGGCCGGGCGGGCGACAAACTGGGCTGACCATAGCCGGCGCCACTAGCACCGCTGTCCTGGGCATTTAGCATGGGCACCGAAACAGTGCCGCCGCCAATGGGCATGGAGCGTTGCTTGCCGCCGACACTGTTCGACTGCTGCTTGCCGGGACTGCGTCCAATGCGCACCCTGCAAAAGTACAAAATGGATTATCAAATATTATAATTATTAATAGGGATTACTTACGGCAATGGCTGCTGCTGCAGTTGTTGCTTGTGTGCCATGGCGGAGCCGTAGGAGCCTGGCTTGGCTGCGGGTCCGCGTGCTCGCATCGTTACCGCTGCCGCCGCAGCTGCTATGGCCGTTGTGGCGATGCTGGTGTGCTTGCTGGCAAACATGGGCGTGCGTTGGGAGGAGGAGGAGCCGGGAACTGGTTGGATGCGCTGCATGGATTGATTGCCTGGCGACTGCTGTTGGCTTGCCGGACTGTTGTTGTTGTTGTTGTTGACGGGCCGTTGTGGCGTCACCTTCTGCAAGCAGCCGCGTCGCACCGGCAACGAGTTGCTGCCACTGCTGCTCGACTGCACAAAGGGCAGCGAGGAGCGTGTTAGTTGCGCCGGCTGCTGCTGCTGCTGTTGGTGTTGCAGGTGCTGCTGTTGTTGCAAATGCTGCTGCTCGGTGGTTTGTTGCGGCCTGCTGCCTGCCGGGCGTCCCGGACGCATAGCTGAACGCAGTGGCGATGTACTTGGATGTGCCGCCACCTTGGCCGGCAGCGACATTGTTGACGTTGATGTTGAAGTCGAGGCTGTGGCAACGGGCGCCGGCATACTGCCTGCAGTATGATGATTGCGCGCCTCGTCGCTGGGCTTCTTCATCAGGGCCATGCCCACCTGGAGGCCGACGGCACGTGTAATGCGCACCGGCGCCGTAAAATGGGCATTCTTCGTCTCCAGATCCTTGAGGACACGCTTGTGCACCGTCTCCAGATCGAGATATTGCTTGGAGACCTCAGCTATCTTGCGTCGATAGTTGGCCAGCGTTGCCTCATGACTGTCGACCTGCCGGCGAATTTCCGCAAATTCACTCTTCACCAGCATGCTCTCGACGACCTTCTGGAGCACCAGCTCCTCGAGATCGTGACGCGTCATCTTATCGAAACTCTTGCGAAAACATTTCACAAACTCGAGTCGGAACGGTTTCACCTCACTTTTCAGCTCCGGCTTTGGCTGCAGTTCGAGTGTTAACGACTCCTGTTCCACAACTGGCTTGTCAGCAGTCGCTGGTGCTGTTGCTGCTGCTGCTGTTGTTCCCATCTCCGATTCCGATTGCGTGTTGTCGTGTGCATCCAAATCGATTTGGAGTGTGCCATCGCTGGAGCTATTCGAGTCAGAGTCATCTGTCTTCAGCTTCTTGCTAGGCGTTTCCTCCTTCTCCGTGGCGGCGCTCAGATTCGAGAGCAGAATGTGGCTGCGTTTGCCGACTGCCGGCAATGTTTCCTCATCATTGTTGCTCGTCGAAGTAGTTGTCGTTTCCGCTTTGTCATCGATGCTTAGACGCATTCGCTTAATCGCTGGCGAAGCTGAGGAGTCCTCCTCATGCTCAGGTTCCGACGTCGCAGCCATTTGTCCATCGGCTTCGGCAAGATCAGCTGCATTGGACTCGGCTTCAGGTTCTGGTTCCGTCTCAGGTACAGCTGCCGCTGCTGCTGGAGCATCTCTGCTCTTCTGCGAGGGCTGCAACAAGTTGCTCGAATTGCTGTCCATATCCTCGCCGGCAGCGCTGTCTCCTTTTGTCTTCTCGTCCGCTTTGGGCTTTTCGAACTGATCGCAGGCATTATCGGAATTATCCGCTGATAAATCGTCTGCAATATTTGATCCATCGCTTGCAGCAGCACTGTCCACGTTTTTGCTGGGTGCCTCTTCAGCTGGCTTAGCGGGCGGCAGCGATTCATCTTCATCCTCGGACACCAAGACCACTTCGTCTTCCTTTTGGGCCACTTCGTTCTCCTTTTGGGTCACTTCGTCCTCCTCTTTGGCCACTTCGTCTTCCTTTTTGGCAGTCTCTGGCATGGTTGCTTTGTGCTTGCTCTCATCGGTTTCAACTTTCGCCGACTTTTGAATCGGCTCTAAGAAGATCACTTCATCGTCTGAGTCGACCGTGTCCTTTCCGTCTACTTTGCTGCCTTTCTCTGAAGCTTCAAGCTCCGACTGACCCGCTAGCTTCGATTGCTCTGCTGCCTGCATCAATTCCTCATCTAAAGTTCCATTCGAATCTGTCGCTACAGTTTTGTTGGCTGCTTCCGTGGGAACTTCACTTTCTTTTCGACTGCCTTCCACCGTTTGTTGTGCATCCTTTGAGTTGGTTTCACACGTTTCGGAAGCTTCGATTAAGATATCATCGATGCTTTTGTCTTTCATCTCTTGCGTTCCTGTCATTTGAACTTTCTCCTTCTTCTCTTCGCTTTCGTCCACCTCCATTTCTCCCCCATCTGTTGCGTTTGCCTTGACTTTTTCCATATCCTGCTCTCCTGCAAGTGTTTCAGCTCCTTCATCAGCATCGACACACTCTTCAGATGTGTCTAGATTAATGACTGATTGTTCGGCATTGATTTCTTCATTGAACGATGCTTGCTCGTCTTCGGAGGATATCTCTTCGAGATCATCTTTAATGCTCTCCTTTTCGGGGACTGGCTCTTTGAGTTTTTCATCGGCAATTGCCTCGAACTCATCGGAACTCGAAATGGTCTCCAATGCATCCATGAACTCTTCATTATTTGAGTTATCCAAGTCGGTTCTGGCTGTAGCTGTTGCTTCTGGCATTTCTCCAGTCGAAATTTCGCCGTCCTTTATATCATTTTCGACGACTTTCTCTTCTGCCTCACTTTCATTAATAATTTCTTTATTTTGTCTTTTCTCAGAGTCTTCTTCTTCTTCTTCAACAATATCAGCACTCGGAATCTCCTCCACGCTGTTATCGTGTTTTTCTTCCTTTTGCTCTATCACATCCGCCCCAGAATCATCGGTAGCAGCGTTGCCTTCGATCTTGTTATCGATATCTTCAACGGCAATTTTCTCCGCTGGACTGGATTGGTCTTCGGTCTCGTCATCGATGGAATCCTTGGGATCACAGTCCACGCTCGAACTTATTTTAACCAGCACCGCATCCAATGCATCCAAACCACTGCCAGCATCTCGCTCCTTAGCGGGTACTTCTTCTTCTTCTTTGCTGATACTATTAATAGGCGGCGTCGCCTCAATATCCGTATCCAAGTCATCTGCTTCTAGGCCATTATGTGTTTGTTCATCTACGGTTGATTTGTGCATTAAAATCGCTGTTTCAATGTCTGCGAAATAGCTCAGTTTTAAACTCAATTTTATCGATAATTTCAGTTGTTTTTTTTTTGGTATTTACCAGGGGTGGCATGCTCATCAGGTTCATGTTCAAGTTCCGCGGCAATGCTTCGCAATAATTCCCCATCTGTTGGCAGCTCCTTTAACTCCACGTTCTGTGTAACTTCCATCATATTTGCGAGTTATTATTTTAATGGCGAAACATCGAACTAAGAAATGAAACGGAAACAAAACAAGTGTTTTTGGCATTTAATATGGTTTGGCAACACTCAAAGCGACTAAGTTGCAGCCCTGGATTAACTTACTCGGTCCCCCCCACCCCTCCCCCACCTATACTTCAATATTAAAGTAGAAATTCAATTTCAATTTGATGACTTCCTCTTTCTTTAAGAATTGAGGCAGGGCAAAAAAAGCTTGCAGAGAAAAGCTTCACGAAAGCTTTTGGCTGCGATGAGCATGCAGAAAGCGCTTGTATAAATCTGGAATTTACAATAAGTGTCAATATGAACAAGTGATTAAAAATGCTTCGCTATTCGCTTTGTATGCCCTTGCTTAAGGTTATTATAATTTTGTCGTGAAGTATGTAACGCATTAAAGGTGACGTCACCGTTAAGCCAATAAAGTATATATATATATATAGACTTGATCAGCAGCACTAGCCGAGTCTTTATTTCCGAGTCTGTCGAAATTTGGGTTTTGAGTTATTGGGTTGAAGGACAACCCTGCTATATATAAAGCTTTTAAAATAAACAAAGTAGGGTCTTCAGTTACCGACTAAAATGTCAGCAGATTGTATCTAATCTTTGGCGGTCTTATTTTGTAGTGTTGATGCTTTGGGGATTAAAGCCTAATTAAAAGTGATTTAATTTTAAGATTGCCAATAAATTATAAAAAGTAATCTGATTTGGTAATCGATTTTGCAAAACATTTCCGAATAGAGCTTTTCTAAAACATTGAATATTACAACCAACGACAGACTGACTTTGGCCTGTTATCATTGTGGTTTCGATTTGGGTTCTGTTTTGGGTTTCGATTAGTTCTTTTACCCAACCGATGTGCGAACAATTGTTCGTTCGTGCGTTCGTTTATTGCCGACGAACGCAACAAGAACAACAACAACAACGAGAGACGCCAGAGATGAGTGCAATCCAAAAACGCAAACACAAATACAAAGCAACATGGCAAAAGAAATATGTATGTAAGCATGCCGAAGGCAGGAAATCGTGAAAAATATTTGGAGTCAATATGGTAAGCAAAGAAGCAGCTTTGTATGGTGGGGGGGGCTTAAGGTCTGCAGTGATATATGTTTCAATATTAACAAATTTGAGGTTAGATTGAATCGAAATAATATTTTATATAATTGGAAATATTTGTCAAGGAAAACTTACGAAAATCTTTGCGAGAATTGGAACTGGTTGCGTGTGCTCGAATTGAGTAGAGTTGCTAATTGCAACGAAAGAGATTCACACTAGAGCCAAAAGAAATCAAATTATTTGTAACTAACTAGATTTCATTGCGAGTTCAAGGCAACACTAAACAGTGGCCGAAGTGAACGCGAACGCGAACGCAAAAACCAGCTGACGACGACGACGGCGACAACACTTAAAAGAGAGAGCGCTCAGCAGAGTTCCAGATACAAATAGCGAGAGAGACAGAGAGATAGAGAGATAGACAGAGAGTGAGAGAGAGAGAGAGAGAGAGAGAGAGAGAGAGAGAGAGAGAGAGAGAGATAGAGAGAGAGAGAGAGAGGGGGAGAAACAAGGAAGGGGGGCTGCGAGCCTACGCCTTAGTGGGCGTGTCAAATTGACTGTGATAAGAATTCGATAAAGTTTTTTCGAAACTCTTACAATTTCACATCTTCAAAATTTGAACAGTGCGTGGCGACCCCTAAATAAACCCAAACTAAACGCTGTGACGTCATCAGTTGTGGCATATATATGTACGCGATTTGGCAACAATGAAACTGATATTGAACACTATTTCCAATGGGTTCAATATTTTGGCCATATTTCTAATATCGGCTTTTGGACAATTTTGAAACATGTTTGCTTATGAGGGAAAGGAGGGGGGTGGGTTGATTACAATACAATAAGCGTGTATTATTGGTGCTGCAACGGGGGATCTTCGACAATAATGCTGCGGTTGGTTTCCAACAGTGTCTTGGTTCTTTCGATAACAAAAAGCGCACAGTGAAAAACCAAACAAAACGCAAAGTAAAAGTAAAGTTGCCATAAATTGGCATTTTACAAAACGCGGCAACGCGTCTAGCGAGTGCGAGCGAGATGGCATTCGCCTATGCCAAGTGAGCTGGTTGCATAAGCGAGACAACTCTATGTTGCGCGGTATATGTTGGAGTAGGGCAGGGCAGGGCAGGGTGAGACGAGTTGAGGTATGTTGGGGGCGGACGCCAGAGGGGAGATAAATTAGACTGTGATTTTCTATAAGATATTACAACAACAACAAAAAAGTGGAAAATGTAAAACATGTAAAACGGCAAACAAAAAGCACATTAAACCAAATAAAATGCATGCCATATAAAAAGAGATAGTGAACGTTAAGGGAGGAGTGGGGGGAATGGGGGAGTAAAGTAATTATGGCAATATTTTGTGTTAATTCAAGATCCGCTGATTTCGAACTTGAAAAGGGCAGTGCTTTTTTTTTTTTTTTTGATATTTATGCCTAGGACATTTGGCAGGATACCGGTTTGATACCAGGTTCGTAGGCCTGCAGAGTGCAAGAGAGGAGACAAAGAGGGAGAGAGAGAGAGAGAGAGAGAAGTAACGCAAGAGCGTAACAGCTTGGCAATGGCAAGAGAGATAGACAGAGAGTGTGTGAGCGAGAGAGAGCACTGTGACGTTTATAAGTGGTAAAAATATGTATACACACACATATATATATATATATATATATATATAGTTATTATATATATTATATATATATATGCAACAATCGGTCAAAGCCTGGATATATGGATGTAATTAGTATAACATAAGTACCTATAAGAATCTATATATATTTTTTTTGTAGACAGAAAAGTAAAAAGTTTGCCATAGCGTTAAGCAACAAATAAACCGAACCAAAATGATTTTTTGTCGTGTCGTCGTCGTACAACAACGAGGCGTACCGAAAGATACAGCAGCACAGTGAGAAGCAACAACTAAAACACAGACGCAAAAGCAGAAAAAAGTAAAATAAAAAATTGAGGCGTCGGCAGCCATATTTGTATTATGTATCGCTGGTAAAAAACTGGTATTTTCTTTCGAAATTTACCCAATGTGGATATAGTAAATATTATTCGATATCTTACATTTTTTTTGTCTGTGGTAACCCTGGCACCCGCTACCCCATATCCCCTACCCCTCATACAATACCACAACCAGCAAACTTTAGTTTTATGTTATCATCTTGTTTTGTATGCGCTTTACATACAAATATATTTGTACGGCAAACATTAATTAAATTAAATACCTGATAAATGTGCTTGAAATATATATAAATATTTTTTTATATATATAACTAAATATTGATGTGTGGACCTGTTTTGGAAGTTATGCCTATTATAGCTGTTTCACTCACACACACACACACATGCTGCGTTTGCTGTATCTGCGTGTGTGTGTGTCTCGTGTATGTATAACAAGGTTTGTATGTATTGACTTTTGCAGCACATTCACATTGTTTTTAGGTTACGTATCGATTTTGATATGAAGTGAGGTTAGTTTGAAAATTGGATTATTACTACGGATCTATATGGCCTCTAGCGTACACACTAGACAATAGTAATATAAATATATATCTACCGATCCGTAGACAATCGGCTGCGAAGTTGTTAGGCGCTACCAGCTGCAAGCGCAGAAAACATAAAAACCAATGGGGCCACAATTTAATTTCTCAATTGTAGATTTGTATTGTTTTTAGGGCTGCCAGGTGCTTGCACAGCACTTTATTGGATTAAAGTTATAATTAATATTCGCAGCGGATATGTTGACATTTTGTATACTAACCAGACACACATGGTATATATATAGGTAGGGTTGCCATCACCTCAAATTCTCATTTATGCTTATCATCATGCAAAGCAAAATGCAACTTTAGCGCCAAGGACATCTAAATAAACATATGCATGCAATAAATGACATTTAATGTTGGTCATTTTAATGCCCGAATAAGATTGGTTTGGCCCCCGTTTTTGTTTGACCGGCTGATGTATGAGTGCCTGACAACCCTAGAAGCGCTAACAAATGCTAAAAAAAAAACTTATTATATATCCCAAATCGAAAAATAATATTAAACGGAAGGAACACATTTGAAAGGTTTGTAGATATCTGGAACAATAGTGTTGAGATAATATAAACAACAATAATAACACTTTTGCCGCTGAAAATTCAACTCTTATCTTCAATGATTAATATAGACTTACCTCACTTTTGATTTAATTATATTATTATTTATAGCTGTAGCATAAAATTTAAGATTTAATTCATAATATATATATATATAATTTTGATATTCAAGTGTTGTAAACAGTCCTAAGTCGATTTGTTTACACCGCACTGAGAAAACACGCCCTGAACAACTGGATACCAAACACAGACTAAAATCTGAGCAGACAACAACAATTGTGACGTACCACGAGCCAGTTGTATTCCCACCAGTGCCAAAGAAGCAAAAACTAGTTCACGAGCAGGCAGCCAAATGAACTGAAAGCATCAGTAAACAAAAACACCTGGCAGCATATGTATGGAGAATATCAGTTTAAATAAAAAGTAAATATTGCGCTAAAAAGAGGAAACGTACTTGTGTAGATTGAAATTTATTATTTATATGTTATATACAAGGAAAGACAAAACCAATAACTAAATAATAAATTATTTTTAATGCTATTTATTATATGCAATACACTACAAAATATATTGTGAACTATATTTTTGTGTGCTAAAACTACAGTTCATCGCATGTACCAGCCCTGGAAAGTGCAAGTGAAACCAGATCGCTCGTGAACGACGAAAGGGAAACAAAACAAAAACATCTGTGCGGCTTCTTCTAGGTTAGTTTTGTTTTATAATAAATGCTATAAACAACTATTAGTAACTGAAAATGAGCAATTTGGTGAATTTTGCGCTTAGACATGGTGCTAATTTTCTCAGGCGACACACTTTACAAAGACTCTGCTGCGCATTGCCAACTCAAGCAGTAAAAGTGTCAACGAATCCAATAAGACAAAATTCAACTCGAGCTGCTTTCGATGTGAGCACAAATGTGGCAAAGGACATTGTGTTGTTCAAATATGAGAATCCCAAGTTTTATAAAATGCTCAACTTCTTTGGCATATGCCAATTTGTGTTCTGGACATATCTGTCACATTTTGCCTTTACGACACTGAAAGATGCGCCAGTTGTGGAGAAACCGGGCGAGGAACTGAAATGGTTTCAGCGGATTAATCTGGGCGAGAATAAGTACAAAAATGGCATCACAATTTGCTGCTTTACGATAGGTAAGTCAGTGTGAACACACACTATTATTAAATGGTGTATTAAATGTAAATTGAATTGAATGCCGTAGGCTATGGCATTTTGTTTGCCGTGTGGATGTTTACGCTGCGCTCTGTGCGATTTCTCATTCTGCGCAAGGGCGGACAGGACGTATCCTTTGTCACCTATGGTCCCTTCAATCGCAATCGCATCATGACCGTGCCCCTCAAATGCATCTCGGCGCAGGAATCCCGTGAAATGGCACGCGTACAGCTGCCCATTAAAGTGAAGAATAAGACACTTTATTATGTGCTCGATATGCGTGGCGAGTTCCGGAATACGCAATTATTTGATTATACGGCTGGTTTGAAACGTCGCATTTGATATGTTTTCGTTTGTTTACTTTAATCAGTTGTAAATATATAGGAATAATAAATCTAAGCTAATTTAAACCTAAAGCGACGACGACGCTTAGTAAATGGGCTCCGGTTTTTGGGTAAGCAGCAGGCCAAAGCGCTTCTTGATCGTGATCCGTTGACGAGAATATTTATCCTCGGGCGAGAAACGCGCTGGATGCGCCGACAAAGTCGGGCGACCGTCCTCGGTGCGCTTCTGCAAATTGCAATGAAAGACAACAAATGAGAGATGCACATAATAATAATAACTGTGCTATAAAGAATCACTTACCTTTAGCGTGTAAACGCGTTCACCGCTTTCGTTAATTGTGTACATCAAATACATTTTGAACAGCAATTAAAATGCTTGCGTCTTTTTCTTGCAGTAAATTTCCAAACACGTGTGGCGTGCAGCGCTGTTAATCGATAAGTGCTAGAGCTGTGCTAACATTGCTGGTAAACATCGTTTTATCGATGATTCTGTGTAGATTGATATTTTTTGCTCCGTTTGTGAACTAGTGAACTAGTGTATATATGTACATATATTTCTTATATGGTTAATAGTTTGATCGGTGCATAGAAAATTTGAAATGCAAGTTTGCTATATTTGTAGGTACAAATCAGTAGCAAATAAATTTTGTATATATCCATATTCAAATAAGAACTTTCTCTAATCCATATCTTTTAAAGAGACACAAATTCATCATCTCACCTTGGGCGCCAACTACTACTGCAAAAAAATCGATCGAAAAATATCGCTGTTGTCGATGTGCTTCCAGCTCTAAATTTAACACTTTCCAACACTCTATTATAATATCAATTGGCGCTAGTTTTTGTTATAAATAATCAAAATGTCAAACAAAGCAGAAAAGTTGCTTAAACAGGCTCTTAAAGAGCAGCAGAAGCGCATTAAGCCCGGCGAATGCCAGAAATATGTGCGACTGGTGCTAGACACCGGCCTGCTGCGCTCTGCATGGGGCCAGGAGCTGATATCCCAATTAAATACAACAGATTTAAAGTACGTATTACGCAGTTTGGCGGCCAGAAATTGCATTATTTGGGAGCGCAATGTGGGTCAGCATCAGCTGCTAGCAGACACCGCACTGGACGATGCCTGGAGCATGGAGCAACAAGTGCTGCTGCTCTACACCGAAACGGAATTCCAGCGCACGCTGAAGGACCAAACGCTGGCCTGCATCGGTGCCAAGTTGCACGATGCATTTCCCCTAGCCAATTACCAATTTACGGTGGTGGTGCCGCGCCAGCGTCACGAGACAACGAACACCGCACTGATTGAGCTACAGCTGCTGCAGCAGTTGCACGTCGAGCAACTCGGTCAGCCGCTGGGAGCACAGCTGTTGGCGCTGCTGCAGCGCTACACAAAAGCCATTGCCGAGTCGCCATACAAGCAGCAGCGTCACGCGATCCTCGGCAGCTTCAAGAAGTATCTGGCCAATGACAACAAGCAATGTGTGCGCGTCGAGCAGGGCAATGGCTATGGACGCCTCTGGCAACAGCATCTCAATCGATTGCCACTCGTCACACTCGAGGTGGCCGAATCTATCATTGCCCAATATCCGTGTCCCAAGCGGATGTTGGACCACTTTGCCACAGATTCGCAGGCAGTGCAAACGCTGGCGGATCTGAGGATTAAGCGCAACAATGGAGCCCAACCACTGCAGACGGAACGGCGCATTGGCAATGTGCTAAGCAACAAGCTATATACACTTTATAATTCCCGGGATCCAAATCAGTTGATTTAAACTATATAGTTTTAGGCCGTTTATTCAGCTGATCATAATTTAAAATCGTTGGTTAGAGCTAAGTGCTAAAATAATGTATGTACAGAGTTGTTATCCAATTCTTCAGTTATTTATCGACTATATTTTAAAAAATCACAATATTTTTTATACGCTTCATCTCTATAAATTTGCATAATTGTTTAATTCGCTTAAATTGTAGTATTTTGCATATACATACTATGAAATGACTTTACACCTGAACAATTTGTTGATCAATTTATTAATTCTTAGTTTTGGCGCATAGAAAATACTTTTTAAGAAATTTGCACTTGTTGCCAAAAAAAAAAAAAATGGAACACTAGTAACAAAATTGGGAAAAAATACAGTGGTCACTGGGAAATGAGTTAACAAGAATTTTGATAACATTTCTAAATTACTTTTTAACATAAATAAATATAACAATTTTATAGCGGAAAATAATTGCCAATCAAACGGAAGCGTTTATGTTTCAAAACAATTAAATAAATAAGAATTAGAAAATAATAATCGATATATATTACAATTAATATGATATTGAATTTTTGTAGCTAATTTTTAACTCGATGAAGAAATATAATACATTAGAAATTATAATTTCTGGAGCAACCACTGCATTAAGTTGTTGCTTCTTCAGTTGATTTTGAACTCGATCCCAATTGGCGAGCGCCAAAAAGTTATTCTATGCTTAAATAGTATGCTTAACATAATTTAAATGATTATTGCTTACGAGCTAAGAATATGAAAATTGATTTGTACACAATACACATAAACTAACAAAATGTTTCTTGACAGGATGTTGTTGTTGTTGTTGGGGAAAGAAATTCAGTTCGTAGCATGTCCTACAGCGTGGCCAGAATGCGAAAGAAGCCGAGGCAGGCCGAGATGATCGTTTGTCCGACGCCCCAGAAGAGTGCAATAATTGGCGACATTGGGAAAATGGAAGCGCGATGCACAAAGGCGATGACGGCGCTGCTAATGATCCCACTAGTAGCCGGCGACAGAAATCCCATCACCAAAATCAATATCGAAAAGAATCGACCAAATTTATGCCGACGCAGCGTGACAAAGGCAACGAGAGCGGCGCAGGTGTGTATAAATATGGATGAGAAGAGTGCCCAGAGGAACACATGATACCACATCTCCCTGAACGTGTTGAGACGCGCCTGGGAGCGTAATCCCACCACATCAACGATGGCATCCAGCTCATCGGTGTCGTATGGCTCGGAGAACATGATCAACTAGGTTTTTGGGGTAGAATGCTGCTCTATGTATCTATAATGCTGAATTTTGGTGTTTGGCTACAAGTCTTGGAAGCTGAGTTGTTGCTGTTGTTGTTGTTGTTGCTCTTATTGTTTACGTTGCTAATTATTGCTTTTCAGTTGCTTCGCCTCGTTTTTGTTTTTGGTCATTTGTATATTGCTCGCTTAACGCAGCTCTTGTTGTTGTTGCTGTTGTTCAGCTGTCAATGTTAATGTTAACGTGCAGCTGGAAATTTGAGAAGACATTCTGCACATTTGTATTTATTTAGCAATATTGTTGAACCTGCGGGAGAGCGGAAGAGAGAGGCTGACATAAATATACGTTTTTATTGACCTTTTGGCCTTTTTACCAACTCACACACACACGCGTACACACACACACACACTGCAGCAGCCACATCAAAACGTTCCCATGTAAATCTTAGCCTGCTGTATATTTTGCTTTGTTTTCCTTTTCTTCTTATTTTCCGGGTGGGGGGGACAGCAATGCTGGAATCGATTAAAAAAGCCACACCAAAATCGCAGTTGCAGCGGCAGTGATTCACTGACTCTTAGCTAAGCATTGTGTTTAATTATTAAATGCACCGCGCGTTTGTTATATGCGTTTGTTTGCTGATATCGATATTCGTTCGTATTAACAACTACTTAGATATTATTGTAATTATTGTTGTTCCTTAAACTGCGTTCTGTTTTACATGGCAACGGGAGCTGGAACGCTTTGGGAAATGAATATAGCTTGATAAGCAGCCAGCTACAGCTGATGTCCGCTTATATCGATATGCATTAATCATACAAAACAGCTCAGCTGTTCCTAATATACATCGATATGCATTTATCGTACAATACAACACAGCTGTTGCTAATACGTATCGATGTATCGGCAGCTGATTTCCGCGCTGTGCATCTGAATGAGTTGTGTGTGTTGTGTGTGTGTCTCATACAACTTTGTTACGGCCGGAAAAATCTTGAAAACTAGTTTAAGCAAAAGTAAATGTTAAAGTGCGCAAAGTGCGCAAATTCTTGAAAAGTAGCCCGATCTAAATATGAACAAGGAGCAAGACTATGCCTCGGACAGCGATGAAAGCGATGAAGATTTTTGCCCACTAAACGGAAATGAAGCCGACTCCGGCGAAGACGATGAAGAGGAGGTAGAGGAAGAAGACGACAGCGAAAGCGAACCCGACGAAGACGAAGTCACTGTAAAAAAGAAGCAAAGCAAAACGGCTAAAGGCAAACGGAAAGACAAAGTAAAGGAGAAGCGGAAAGAGGCGGAAGAAGCCGAGAGCGAAACTTTGAAGCGCAGCACGCGTCAAACGGAACAACAAAAACAAAATGGACGCTCAACTGTGGCCAGCAAGGACGAATTGGAATCGGACGAAGAAGCAGACAAATCACGTTCCGATGCGCTCTGGGCAGACTTCCTTGGCGATGTGGGAGCCGGCACCAAATCCGACTCAAAGCCAAATGAGCCGGCCAAGCAGGTGGAGAGCGGAAAAGTGACTGAGATTCTGGATTTTGCCGGCGAATCGGTGACCATAACAAAAACCGTTGCCGGTTCCAGCACCACATCCAGTTCCAGTGCCAAGGAGAACAAGCAACAGAAGTCAGCTGAGGCGCCACGTCCCTTTGGGGCGGCCAAGAGAACTTCCAATGGAGGCGGCGGCGGCGGCGGTTTGGGTTCATTACTCAATCAGCTGGGCAAGAAGAAGAAAATGTCTGTGCTGGAAAAATCGCAAATGGATTGGAAAACATTCAAAAGTGACGAGGGCATCGACGAGGATCTGCGCACCCACAACAAGGGCAAAGATGGGTAAATTAACTACACCATTTCAATATAAATAGATTTTTTAATATTTGAATTCCTTTTCTCGTTTAGCTTCTTGGAGCGTCAGGATTTCCTGCAACGCACCGATTTGCGGCAATTTGAGATCGAGAAAAACATGCGTCAAACGCGGCGTCAAAACTGAAATGCAACTAAAACAAAAACAAAAAAAAACATTCGCATCCTCAGCTCATCCTTCAACTTTCCAATTCACATTCACACATTCGTCAACATCGTTTATTTAAGTTAGTGCATAAATCTTAAGTTATATAATTTTATATATTGCATAATGCTCTTCCAAGCACCAGCGAATCAATCAAATACATTCATATTAAATATTATGTTGATTTCAATTGCCCGTAATGTAAAACATGACTTTTAAACTAAACATTCCCACTGATATATGTACTTATTTATATATAATATGTGTGTAATCTATTCGGGTAAGCTGACACCCACTCGCTTCACATCGCTGCGTGTTAGATGCAGAAAAAGTGCTCCAAGTGCACAGCCCAAGCTGCCCAGGCCAATTGCTAACCATCTGAACAAATTGTTCGCATTGAGCACACTGTGGAAAGAAAGAAATTATGACATCTGGCATATATAGCTGCCATATCTTGTGCGAAACCTACGCAAATATCTTTTTATGCAGCAGCTGTGTGATTTTCTCATCCAGCTGCAGCGATTCCTCAATCCAAAAGAGTGGCATTGCCACGGCACGCAACTGGGACATCAGCGGCACATCCTTAACAGGCGCCACTTTCAAACTGAACTGCAGGCGATTGTGCACGGAGAGCACACTGCCGGATAACTAAAGAAGTGATTCCAAATTTCAGTTAAAATGCCAAAGTTGAACTAAAATGACCAAACAACCTGTTCAAAAATCAATATGCTGGCATGTTTGGCAGCTGTGGGCGCCAATCCCTCAACTTGCTCCAATAAATATTCATCAGCGCCATAAAAGTGTGGCAAGGAGGCGATTAAGGGCGTGCCACTGCAACGCACCAGATCCATAGTGCCATCAGCCGGACAATCTATGGGGTAGTCCGTGCAGTAGCAGTTTAAATCATCTTCCGTCTGGAATATATATAAAGATTTTTATAGATTTTCCATAATTTGCTTAAACTTTATTAGATTCACTTACGCTGGCCGAGCCAAAGCTGAGCTCATAGCGCTTTGCGGGCAGCTGATTGTATTTGGTGCTGCCCACTAACTTGGGCGTCAGGGAGCGGCACAGTTGGGCCGAGTAGCTCCACAGGCCGTGCTGTGGTCGCATGTACGGCGCAAAGATGGTGCCATCTGTGCCACGTAAAATATTGCAGCTGCCATTGTTTGTCTCCTGCCACACTTGCAGCTGCTCCGCATCGTTGAACGAGAGCACACGTCCCACCGAGGACTTCTTGGCTCTGCTGCGCGAGACCTTAAAGCGTCCAGCATTCGTGTGATTCCCCTGAATTGTGTAATCCATAAGTTATGACAGAAACTGTGGCCTGGCCTTGGTGTACACTTGACTCACCGCTCCCATTAGCGAGAAGCTGTAGTGTGTGGCATTTAGTGGAATTGCACCCGGCACGGCACCCATTTGGAACTGCTGACAGATGGCCAGTGCCGCAGCATGCTCCTGGGCACAATTGACTTCAATGCCATTGTAGAAGAGATCCGAGAATTTGGCTGTTATAAAAGCGCTCTCCGGCTTCAAAATCAAATCCAATCCCAAGGCAACAGCTGCCTGTGTTTCTGCTGGCTGACCCAGGTTCGCAATGGTCATGAACTGTAAATCTTGATAGTATACACTAAATCTAAAGTTAAAGCTTAAGTGTTCACCTGGAGCAGTGGATGTGGCAGCGTTATTAGCTCCTCTCCAGTGAGACCCAAATCGCTGCGTGACTTGAATGTGTTGCGCATATTGAAACTGATGGCATCCTCTGCTTCTATGTCCAACAGATCATACTTGTCCTTCCACTCTCTACAAATAATTATATATTTTTTTGATTGTCAGTCTAAATGCTTATTCAAATCCTTACTCGTATACAAATGGACCCACTTCCTGCAGCTTCGGTTTGCCGCCCATTTCAATTTCCCGCGCATTGGTCACATTGAATATGTAGATCTTAAAGATCATGGGAAATGGCAACTTTTCCCACATCTGACGCGTCTCACTGCCTGGCTTCAGATTGACACTCTGCATGGTCAAGTTTTGGATTATATTCTCCATATACTTCACATTTGGTTTACTCACCCGCATAACCAGTTCGGAATAGCATGGGAAAGGCAAGGAAGCCTATGAGTGCGCCTAAAAGCAACACCACAAAGGACACCATTATAAACTTGAGATACATTTTCACTTCAACGGTTCGTCGACAATTGAGCTACTTATTTCGAAACTGGCCTCATTTTAATCGTTTCGTGTGGCATAATTTTGGGGCATTTGTAATGAGTATCTTATAAAATTTTAATACGCACCTGAAAATTGGTGGTGACAATGAATATATGTTTGTTATGTGTGGGTAATTTGGGGCTGAATTCCTCAAAAATAAACAATTACAATTTACAACTAAATATCAGTTGACCCGGTTTAAATTGTGTTTTTTTTTTTACTTTTTAATTTGGCCGTAATTAAGTTATTTGTCCATCGATTGCATAGGGAATATTTTTGGCCTATTTTAATTGTTAAATAAGCAAGGCGCGCGTGGTGGAAGTCCCTGCTGTGTAGCCAATACAACAACCAACGGAGTACCTTAGCTGGCTTACAGTAGTGGCCAAAGTAAAAGGTACACCACAAGTAATTTGCATCGAAAGCTAAACTTGTCCCAAGAATTTAACTTTAGCTATGATTTCAATTGAGTAAAAATATATAACCTTCATGTATCTGCTGAAAATAAGTAATTAAGTATTTAATAAAATATAAATAAAACTCCGTTTTCACATTTAGGCCATTTGAAGACATTTATTATTAAATTTGGCATTTCGAATATGATCAACATAACATAAGAGCCTCAGCATTGAGCAGTTGGCTAAAACTGAAAACATCGCTTACTTATGTAATTATTATTATCTATATAGCTAGATAGTTAGGACGTTTGTAAGTAATAATAAATATATTTATATATATAAATTATATATACACTTAAAATTCACTAAGCTTTCTGTTTAAAAAAGGGCAACTTTTAAATCTAAAATAAATTTGTACAGTTCTCAATACATCTGAATATCTGAATATGTTTAGTTATCGTATATAGTATTTTGTATATGAAAAAATCAGTCAAGAGTTTGGGGCTGGAAAACGCACAGATATTAACTAAATGTTTAGCTGATTTGTTGTTTCGCAAGAGATTCGTTCTGCTTCGGCTGCTTTTCCTTTCCTAGTCGAGCTCCACCTCCTTGAAAAGTGTTTGACTTTCTGCCTCGCGAGTGAGTGGAATTGAGGCTGGATCCTCGTGTATCTCATCGATCTCCAGCTCCTTGAACGATGTCTGGCTGATGGCCTCGCGTGTGCACAGCACTGCAATCTGATCCTCAGTCGGCTGTTCGCTGGTGGGCGGCAGTACCACGCCTCCGGGCAGCGTGTGCATGACCGAAGTGCTGCAAGAAGTGAGCAAGGCAAGCAACAGATTATTTTCTTTTCTATAATATATATTTTTTATATTATAATTTTATTCAAGCATAAATTAAATTCAAGCATAAATTAAAAGCAAATTATATTTCACAATATAATAATAATAAAAATATAGCAAAGGGTATTCAATTGTCGGCACTTACTTCAGGGAGTATGTGGAGCGGTACAACGGCGGCGGGGTATTCATGCGGACTGCAGCATATGCCGCCTGTGGATGCGCCGCACTGGGATGATAGACAAAGGCGTATTCATTGAGCGAGGTGAGATTACGATGGCGGCGGCGGTCGATGCTGGAACTCCGGATAGAGATAGCTGCCGGGCAGCAGGCGATTGGTGCAATGCGGACTGTTGCAATTGCGACAGGTCTCCATGCGCCTAAAGCACGGACAATCATCGACATCATCCGGCAGACTGAGACGCCAAATGGCGCCGGAGATGACCAGCAGTGAGACACCAATGCCAATCATCAGCAGCGCCGCACTCAGATACTGTGTGGAGTGCTCAATCAGACCCGTGGAGCCCAGCACAATGCCACCAAGCGTGCAGGCAACGCCGCCCAGCGCAAAGATCCCAATGACAAAGGGCAGCGAGGGTCGCGCGAACCATTTGCGAAAACTGTAGCCGAGCGGAGCCCCGCCGAGCTCAGCGCTGCTCAACGCACCACTGGCAGTGCCAGCGGCTGAGATGTTCAGATTGGCACTCGTCAAATTGCTGGCAATATCGCCACTGCCACCGGCCAGCGGTACAGCCACGTCCAAGAGCGTTCTGAAAGTGGAGAAGAACACCAAAATTGATGAGTTTACACTGCGAGAATGTGGATGTAAATTGTAATGGCTTTAAATGCAATAAAGAAAGTCAAAATTAGCTTGAGATTTTAATATTTTTAAAATGATTTACTTAAAGTATTAATTCCTGTATTGAAGGGTGCAAATAAATTTCTACACAATTAAGTAATTTTCTTCCTTTCATATATAATTTCTTTCAGTGTGTATCTTTTTGTTTGGATTGCAAAGATAATGTGGCATCTTTGAGTGCTGCTACCTGAGTTTAGGCGCTCAGGTAGCTGAGGCCTAGCTGGCTCCTGAGCCACACATTATATCATAGTGGCAGGATCCTTTTGTCTGCCACATGTTACGCATCGTCCTCTTTGCTGCTCACAGCCCCTCCCTCATTTCTATCGCTGCTTCCCTTTGTTCAACTGCCTTCAAATCTATGATTTAGAACACACATTTGGAAATGATTTGTTGTTGTTTGGTGTCCAGTTTGTGCCTGCATAAATTGTTGAGAGTCTTGCACCTGCCTGTCCTGTTGCTGATCCTTTGCTGTACCCTCGGCTGCTGCCCCCTCGCTGTGCGTAGCCCATATGTATCTTGCAACTATTCGACAGCTGTTTCCCATTTGATTTGCTGTGTTTGCTCTTGTCTACTTCTTCGTTATATTTTTAAATACGTCACATTTTTTCCTATCTCGGTTGTTTCTTGTTGGAAGACAAAGGCGGCTTGCAACAGGTATTAAATGTGCCTCAGCTATAAACTTCAACTGAAATGTTTATTTATTTTAGCGTGGGGTCTATCGTAATATTAATGCTCAATAAAACTATGCAACCTGCAGCTTTAAGGTGCGAAAATAAAATTTTAGTTGTGCCGTAAAACTAAATAAAAGCATAAATTTATATGCCCGCCAGCACGGCCAGAAAAGGAAGCATTAAGCAATAAAAACAAAACTGAAAGAAAAACGTTTGAAAAGCCCTAAAATATAGACACAAAAAATGTGGGAAATGGGGGAGTTTGTGTGTTTGGAGGGGGTGAGGCTTGAGATTTAATTTACTTTACAATAGCCAAACAGCTGCGGGCGGCGAGGATTGACTGCAACGATCAAGTCCCAAAACTAATTTCGAGACGACAGCGTCACACTCAATTGTCTGCAATTTGTCATCTTAAAAAATTATATAGAACCCTCGGAAAATGTATAAAAACAAAGAAAAAAACGAATGGAAAATTAATTATAGACTGGCAAAGTTTGAATGCCCTTTGCTATACGAAATAGTGTGTATATAGTAGACTATTATGAAATTACAAGTAAAATGTAGTATTTAATAATACAAAAATATTAGACAATTTTCCACAGATATGTGTCCTAGTTGGATTTATATATATTTATATATATATCTTGGGATATAAATTCACTCTTGCATTACACACTTTGCCACAAAGTTAAAGCACCCTCTAAAAAAAAAAAAATGTAATAGAAAACCAAAAAAAAAAAACATAAAAAATAATAATAAACTGGCAGCACAGTTGTGGTTGTAATTGGGGCGTGAAGAGACTCATCAATTTGATATGATATCCGAGCGGCGCAGCCTTTTTTCATGTGACTGAAAATGTTGAATTATTAACGTCGTTTATTAATAAAACGAAATATTTATGTATTTCTGTTATTGATTGTATTTTTAGGCATTGCCACACATTTTTTTCCCTTTCTTTTCTTTTAATTTCAATTCATTTTTTATGACATTTTGCAGTTGTCAAAAAACTGATACGCGCTGCATGTCATACATCAAAATGATGGAAGTGCATCGAGTTAACCAAGTCATAAATTTGGTTAAGCTGCAAGGCGCATAAATCAACTTAACAACAAATTCAAAAATCATTTACAATTGGCAACACGTACTTAAACAGTTCTCGCATTTCAAAATCTTGTAGAAGCAGTTGCTAACTGTTTTTTCCCCGATTGGCCTAAAGGCCTGATGCATCTTTAATGATCTTAACTAACTGTATAGACAGAATAGAAGCTGCATCATTTGTCAGCTAGATCATTTGCTCAATGCGCATCTCCCAAAAGATACAAAAGATACAAAAGCAACTTAGATGCAGTATTTGTTCTCGGCACACGCTGCTGTCTGTGGCACTTGTGAATTATGTGCTTGAATTTTCAGTCCATTTGACAATGCCACCATTTTAAATGACACCCCTCAAACACACACAATCACACACACACACACACACACACACTCAGCTAATTTATGAGCTTGTGTGAGTGTAACATTTATTGTTATTCGAAAATGTTTGCTGCACTCTCGGCCGGCTCGTAAACATTTCTCGCCTCGGTTTCAGTTTCGGCTGCGGTTCTTAAGCTCAATCAGCGCGCATTGAAATTGAAATGGGGCAGCCACTTCTCCAGATACCTCAACGTGCAACAGCCGTATACATCAAATAGCTATTAATGCGCTGGGTTACACTGTGAAATGCATTCTATATTTATTGATTGAGTTATATTCGCCGCCGTAATCCGACGAAAAAAGATAGATCACCTACAACAAGCTATCGAGAAATTTGATAGTTAAAGCTAGGCTGATATACAAAATAAATATAGGAAGCCATTTAAGCTGTTGTAAGAGCTGTAATAATATGTTTGTCTGATGAAATATGATTGATATTTATTTAATAATAGTTGCAACGTAATCGTGAAAAGAATCAAGTCAAACGGTTATATAGAACAGATTAAATTCTGATATAATCGTGTAGAGTACTGTGATTGATATTAAATTAATACACGTTGTACAGATTAATTTGAAGTTAATTGACGTGCTAATTAAAATGTACGACATCGCATTAATATGGAAACTATAATGCTTGTTTAATCGTTTATAGAAATGAATATTTCTAATTAATATTTATTAGCTATAGTTGTAATATATTGATTAAAATTCAGCTGTAATAGGATCAAGTAGTTGTCAATAGATTCTGCTGATGAAGTCATCAACAAAAGGCCGAATGACGCAGTTTTCCAGCTTGTATGATTATGATAAGTGGAAAAGGTGTGTTGGCCAACGTAGTCTCAAATTAAAACTTAAAGTAAGTCCTCAGTCAGCACTTAAGAAAAAAAAGATAGTAAATTACCCAGTATGAATAAAGTAATTATGATGCAAAGCAGATAATTCCAAATGAGTACAAGTTAAACACCTTTTTTTGTGTAATATTACAGGGTATAATTGTGATTCGATGATATTGCGTATTACAATCTCGGCAGCGACTTCCGTTGCAATTTAGTAGCCCTATTGTCTGTCTCTCGACTCGACTCAACTCGACTCGACTCGAGTCGACTTTAGACTTTCTTTGCCGCGTCATTAGCCTTAACGCATTAAGCCACACTTGCTGACCCAGTTTTGTTAGCGTCGATGGGAGTGGGCCACAGTTGGCCGTCATTAGGTATAATTGCTTCCCTAATAGCATTTTCTATTTTGGCCACTTTTCTGTGTGTACAGTTAAAACATCAACATTGCGCATGCGTAACCCGAGACTTGATCAAAGCCCAGCCAACCAGCTGGAAGTGGCATAATTAAGAATGCCATTAGAGTAGGAAGCCGCATAGGAAAAACCAACGAAAACGTAATTGGGTGTCAAAGAACATACAAAAGAAAAAAAACCAAAGGAAACGGGTAAAATAATATATCCAAGAAGTCATCGTACTCGTTATATGTAAATGTATCTGAAATGTACTCTTCAAATTAAAAAGAAAAAAATGGAAAAAAAAACCCAAGTTGGCTGTTTGAAATTAGCCGACTTTGCATGTGAGAAGGGCGGCAACTAAATTTCACATTCTCTATATAAATTATGATCAAAAGTCAATTAGACTTATTAGCCATAAATTTTGAGCTTAGAACTGGCTCGACTACACTGAGAAAACTTAAGCGGCTTAGGCCATAAGTAGGCCTGCACTAGAATTCTGTCGGTGCTATTGTTTACAGCTTAACTGCGCCTACGGCATGCCCAGACAATAAGAGCACGGACCCAAACAACTGGTGGAGGCTACTGTTTAACCCCCCCTCCCACTGTTCCACCCTACAGCACAGTGCTCACGTGTCCAAGCAGTAATAGTAGTGGTAGTAGTAGAAGAAGAATGATGATGAGCCTGATGCCGCCTAAGCTGTCCAGCCCATCATTAAGCAGAGCAACCTCTCGGCTCTTTCGCTTTTAAGAGCCAGCGTTTCTTTTCTTCGTTTTTTACGTTTCTTTTTATTTTTTTGTGTGTTAATGAATGCGCACATTAAGCTGCACTTAAGCTGAGTTTGAGTTTGAGTTTGAGACGTAACTGTACTACAACTAATGGATTTTCAGCCATATCATTATCATTTGATAATTTTTTGGAATAACCTTAAAAGCTATTTTACTGTAAATATGCTTTTTAGTCTTTGTGTGTGTGTGGCGTAAGGGTGTTTAATAGTCTCATAAATAAGCTAGGCAACAAAATGTGTTTAGCAACCCTTAAGCCGTAAAACACACTTGAGAAATATGATTGGCAGCAGAGGTGACTGCCCCATAATATATTTATTTTCAAATTTACAAATTTTCTCATTTCTCGTGAAGCTGCAGTGCAGCCGATAAAATTGAATTTTGCTCAAAAATCAGTGAAGGGGGCGGTCAGCATCGGATTTGGGGTTGCTGACAAAACGCTCGAAGGTAGCACAACATTTATTATCAATAAAGCCCAAAGGCTATTTGAAAAAGGGGCGAGCACCAAACATCATCTTTGAGTTTCTCAAAAAAAAAAACACAAAAATAATAATAAATAAAAAAAGATGAAAAATTACGAGTAGAAGTAATGAGCATTTTATGGCCTGATGAGTTTTGGAGAGTGCGTGGCACAGATTAGAGGCGCAGTTATCTGATACTTGAGCAGAGGCAAGTTCTGCTCGCTCGTTCCGGATGTGCGAGGACATGCGAGGACGAGAAGACCTGCGGCTGAGCCAGCTAGTTAAGTGCCAACGGTGACAGCAAAAGCAACCACAAAACTGAAACCCAAACTGCCTATTGAAGAGACTTCTCTCTCTCTCTCTCTATCTCTGTTTTCTCTCTTGTTTTTCTCTGTCTCTGTCCGCCTTGTGTGTGTGGTGTCAAATGACAGCGTTAAGAATGCAGCACTGAAAGGTGAGTTCAAGGAACCAACTGACTGAATGAAATTCGTGCCACGGCTCTAAAATTCGTATCGAACTCTAGGCCCAAATTCCCTCAGCCTATAAGCTAATGCGCTGTGCACTCAACCGTTACAAAGTATCGATTTTTATGTGCACAACACACACACACACACTATAGACTTACCTATAACATCGTCAAATAGATTGTCAAATTATATTGAACTCCTCTCATTTGATTTGTTTAGGTTTTTCACTGCCCTTTTTTCCTTTGAATTGTGTTTGGTTTGAACTTGTTTCAATATTTGTTACGTTTTTGAAATTTATATTTTCTGATATGACAGCAAATAATAGTTTCAATTAACTGTCGAGTGGCATTCAGTGTGCACTCTTTATTATTTCGATACCCTGTACCCATCATGATGTGTGCAAAGGGGTACAGACTTATTTAAGATACTTTTGATTTTCTATGATGTTTGCCCTTCAATAAAATAACATATTTAAAGAGAAAGATTGGGATAAAAAAGACGACCTTCTCGAGATTTGTACAACTATAAAGATTTAATTTTAAATAAATTAAATTATTTAAATGTGTCTTTTAAATATGATGAAAATAAAACAACTGCAACCAATAACAACTGATCAAAATAATTTCTCAATTTCAAAGCCAGTCTCTGACAATAAGATATCTTCTGGTCGTGCCACAAGTGCATTTCTGATAGTAAATATTTGAATTGAGTGCTGCGTACACGTCATAACTTTGATGTATTTATGGTCTCGGGGGTCTCTGTGGAGTAGTATTTCCATAGCGTTATCAGACGCCTTGGCATCTTGTTAGTGCGTCTAATTTGCTGTCTATCAATTTTGTAGGGTCTCGTGTCAATATTTTCTGTGTGTTTTTATTGTTATACGTGTTCTCAAAAGTGTTTTAATTGGATTCGATTCGATTTCCTTGACCCATCAAAGGGGTCTAATGCGTCTAATGCAGGTGTCCATCAAAATTTATTGTTGTTGATTCGGGCTGGGTAAATTGTGAAATCGACACGCATTAAAAATGTGCGCAATCTGCTTCTGTTTCTTTTGTTACATTGGTTAATTAATCATGTCGCTTATTTTAATTAATATTTCTTAATTTTTTTTCGGCAGTATTTTTTTGAAGTTACAACTTGTCTAGAAATATATTTTGGATATAGTGTATACACTATGACAATTAATCAAAGGCACTTTTTGGACATGTTCCATGTTCTGTTGGGCTGACAAAATTTATGAGCAACTATTAATTTTTATGCTTCTCGCACCGAATTCCACGAATTGACGAGTTATTTTGAGATTATCGTGGCTATGAGATGCCCTGTAGTTTATAATGAAATCCAAGTGTATCTTAAAGAGTGAGAAATCTATAATGTATGTAACAGAAATAAATTGACAACTGCTTTTGATGATACACATCTCCTACTTATAGATCCGATAATCGTCATTCAAAATTAGTAAAGCTATTGAACTGTATATAAAAATTGGATAAATGCTTTATATTATCGATAATTGCAATAAAACAAGTTTTTGTTCATAGCTTAATATCATTTCTGAACATCTTTCCTGCCAATTAAAATCAAAACTATATTAGAAAGTATAAATAGAGGTAATCAAACACTTAAAAGAAAGTCGATTGTGACTCTACGAATATGGCTCTCTATGGACAGTCGATTATCGATTATTAATTATCAGTGCTAATGATGATGGTCTTTCGATTATCGATTGCCATTTCGAATTTCGATTGCAACTTAAGTAGATAATATGCAATACTAAAGATATTAACACAGCGTCTTTTATGTTTTATGAAACACATTTCTCAACCTTAACGCAAACTAAGCAACCAACTGATATACCACATAGTTGACAATGAGTACAGGGTATGCAGGCACACACAGCTTTTGTGATAATCACAGAGGCCTTACATGTGACATGTTAAACAGCAGCAGTTCAGCACCGCCCCTCCCTCCCTGGAGAGGCAAGTACAAGAGCGTCTGGTCGTATCTTTAGCTTTATGGAATTCTTCTGGCGTGCATATCAATGTCAGTTAATCTACCCAATAAGGCATAAAGTGGAGGGTCTAGACTTGAGTCTCTCTAGACTCTGCCCTCGACTCGCTGGCAGCGCAAGCAGCAAGCACCAAATCTCTGCTCCAGTTTTGTATTGAGGGGGCACGAAGTAGAATTTGTATTGCTGCTGCTTCTTCTTATACTCGTAGTTGTTGTTGTTGCTGTTGTTGTGCGTGACATGATTTTTGTTGAATGATAAAGTTTTATTTCTGGCACTGGAGCAGCGGGGCAGAAGATGCTGCTGCTCCACGCGGCAGCATACCAATTATAATTTTAAATGCGTCTGTCAAACTTTCGGTTTCAGTGAGCTTGCCACTGTGATGCCTGCCACTGCCACTGCTACTACTGTCTGCTGTCTGCTGCCTGCTGCTGACCAGACCAGACAGTAGCCATTTTTAATGGCCACTTCCTCAACGATTTGTGTGGCTTGCCCTGTGGCTACTGTCAATTTAGTGTCTCCCTCGCCCCTTGCTCGGCTCCCCCCTCGATTTTATAATCACATTTTTGATGGCACTTTTAAGTTACCTGCGCGCATGATGCAGATGATGATGTCCAGCATGCGAATGACTTAGGCCCATTGGCCGTTGCTGATAGTACGAATGGTATTGCAAATAGTTGGCAGCAGCCGCCGCATTCTCCGGATTGGTGTTGAGGAAAGGAGATGCGGCAGCAGCGTTTGCCATCGCATTCGCAGCGGCCGCAGCATGATGATGATGATGATTGTGGTGATCCAGAAAGATGGCCGTATATTGTGGCGGATAGGTGCCAACAACAGGTGGCGCAACGCCGTTACCTGCAACTGTGACGCCAGCGCCAGCAGCTGCAGCTGCAACACCCACCACACCACTGCCACCATCGACGCATTTACTCTTCGCCTTGTTGTGCAACTTGCGACGCGTTCGCTTGCTCTGCCGCGAATCGCTGCGCGAACAGGCGCTAGTGTTGAGGGGGTTGCTGGTGGGTGTTGCAGCATTCGCACCAAATTGCAACTCGCTGTAAATACTCGATTCGAGCATGTTACTCTCCGATGTGGTGCGATTCAATATAAACTGCTCAAATTCATTATCCTCTTCGCAGCTCTGCTGCTGCTGCTGTTGGTGCTGCTGATGTTGCTGCTGTTGCTGCTGCTGTTGCTGCTGTTGCTGTTGCTGCTGCTGTTGCTGCTGCTGCTGTTGTTGCTGCTGCTGTTGCTGCTGCTGCTGTTGTTGCTGCTGTTGTTGCTGCTGCTGCTGTTGGTGCTGCTGATGTTGCTGCTGTTGCTGCTGCTGTTGCTGCTGTTGCTGCTGCTGTTGCTGCTGCTGCTGTTGCTGCTGCTGATACTGCAGCAGTGCTGTGGATTCGGCAGCGATTTCTTCGTTTCCAATGTCATTGCGACTGCGTTGGAGGCTGTTGCTGCTGCTGGCGCTAATCACAATTTCCGGTATGACAAACGCTGCTGTCGGCGCTGCCAACTTCCTTGGCTCGCTGCTCATGGCGCCCAGCACGGTGCCGTTTTCAAACACAATTGTGGGCGTGGCAGGCATCGTGACACTGACACTGACACAATAATCACTGTTTTTATTTTTCTTGTTTGTTTTTAACTCGACTCCGCAATGGGCTTAATGCATTTTCTTACTTTAGCGTGAGAAACTTGTTTAGATATTTTCTTTAAATATTTTTTTAATTACTCGCCCGACTTTCGCCTGTACGCGCCAAATATTTTTACGCACACGAATCTGGCAACGTTCACAGATTTCTTATAATAAGCTTGCAATCTGCCGTCGCCACTCTGGATAAACCGTCTTGGTGCGCGTACCGCCAAAAACTGATTTGTATTTTTGATGCGTTTGTTGTGTTTACGGCTTCTGGTTTATCAACTTGCCTCGCTCACATTCGCTCACGTTTGCTCTCTCTCGTTCTCAGTTCGTTTCGTGCTTCGTGACGACGCTGACGTCGTTAATGGCTCGCTCTCTCTCTCTCTCTCTATCTATTTGTCAAAAACAACCACCAGTGAGTTGAACTTCGTGCGCTGCATTCGCTCTGCTGCTGCACTCCCAAGTAACACCCTCGCCTTCACCCTCGCTCTAAGATGTTTGACGAGTTTTTGGCGTGGCGTCTCTCTCTCTCTCTCTCTTTCTCTGTATATGTGCTTGTTGTTTACGTCGTGACGCTTCGCTCTCTGAACGGCCGCGCGCCAGGAGCGGATCGGGGCTGTGGGCGCAACTGTGGTAGTAAATATCTCTGCGTTTTTTTGTCCATGCCGCTCATCTTTTCACACTTTTACTTAAATAACATGAAGAGCGTATTTGTTAGTGTGCTAGAGCGACTTCCACTTCTCTGTCGCTGCCTATTCTCTACTTCGCGCTCTCTCTCTCCCTGTCATTCTAAACGAAAAGAAGAAAACATTAAAATGAAACCAAACAAGAGCTGTGGCCAGGAAAGGGACAGCACAGCTCCCCAAAACAAACACCACAAAATCCCAGTATGCAACAAAAATCTATCTGCAAGATACACACACACATACACACACACACGCACACTAAACATTTGTGTGTTGAATGCCGCATCAATTTTTTCAGCGTCTTCTTCTTTCTTTCATTCTTTTTGGCGAGGGTGAAATATTTTGTTTTTGTACGGGACACTTTGAATGAAATCCGCTTTTTACAATATGAAACAATTTCTATTATTTTTGCTACTCCCTCCGTTTATTTACAATTGTATCTTTCTATATATTTTTTTTTGGGTCTTCGCAGTTGAAGCATTTAATTAAAATGCAACGAAAAATAACAAAAAAAATAAAATTTGAATTGGTTGTCCTGATGACCCTTCAGTCTTGGCCCAAAACTTGTTGCGGATTTTCACTACTTTCAGTTGCAATTCGAGCGTCACTCGAGAAACCCAAATATTTGCCTTTATTTGAGTATCTTTTTGGGCTATTTTCACTGGCAAAAGAGGGCAGTTACGTTAAGAGTTCACAAACATTGCTAAAGCTTTCAAATGTTGATTTAAGACGCACCTCAACTGAGTTTTTAGCCTTATTGGCTTAATGACTATTTGGCTAATAACTCTTGTATCGAAGCACTCGGGCAAATTAGCGCCACTTCAACTTAATAGCAAAAACAACTTTCCGTCAATATTTAAGTAACATTTTGTACAATTACCAATCTGTTCAGACACGCATATGTTTGCCATATAATTTCAGTTGTTTGTACCCAGCACTTTTTGGCAATAGCCCTGCAGACAAATATTTTTGGCTTAATCATAAGATACAACGATTTTGCCCAAATTAGCCGCGACTTGAAGCCAAGTTACCAGCTCGGCTGCAATGACGAAGACTGACCCTTTTTCTATACCCTGTTAGCTTGAAAATTGAAGAGGGGTAGCTTTGTGTAGAACATTATTCGATGTGCGATTTCTAAGATACTTTATATGCTTAAATAAAGAAATAAGCGAATTGCTTAATTCAGTTTTAAAAACATTTGAAGCTCAATTTCAGCTTTATCTACTACAAAATAATAAATAAATGTAATGATTATTATATAAGACTAATTTATTTTCTTATCATCTGATTGTGTTTATTGGCAGCAAACTGAAAATAACTGAAAGATGACAAGAATAGTTAATGAAATGATTCAGAAACTAGCTTTAGTTTCAGGTATCTTCAAGTCTAGTTATTGATTTGAATTCTTGTTTTTAATTTAATTGTTTTGGCATGTTGTGTTCTGTTTTATGTTTTTTGTTATGTTTTCGTTTTTTCTGTTTTTTTTTTCTTTTTTTTTTTGACAAGCACGCGCTCATCTCATAATTACCAATTAGATGCTTTTCAATTTTTCGCTGCGGAGCGCTCAACACGTTTGGGCCATGGCCAACTTGATGGATGATGGTTAGTTGGTTGATTCGTTGGGTAGACTCCACAGCAGTACGCCCTGCTTCAGTGTTGCATGTCCATGTGGTATGTACTTAAGTTGCTGTCTCATGGCATTTTATATTTTGTACTGGTCACGTTGCATGCAACATTTTCGAGTTGGATAGCTTGTACCTGTCTATATCGCATGATACGGCTGCCACGTGAGTTGGCGTTTTGTTACTTATCAAATTATGAGCCACAAACCACAAACATTTTGTTATGTTTGATAGCGGAAATTTGAGTAACTTTATCGAAGTGTTTTTTTTTTCTTTTTCTTTCATTGTTTTTCTTTTGTCTTCATTTTTTCTTCGTTTCTTTCTATTTTCTGTGCTCAAGCATGTTATCAAATATTCCACAATTTCCGGTTCAAATGTTGCCAATACCGCTCAGAAATCGCTTAAGCGCATACAATTTTGAAAAATTTGCATTTCCCTGTTGTGTGTGTGGCAGCTCAAAGTTATTTCGTTTGTTCAAAAACGAAAATTAATTAAAAAAGCGAGACAATTATGTAAATCGCTGACAAAAACAAAAACAGAAACAGAAACGATATCAATCGCGCTGACTTGTTTTGTAATTGGCACAAAACGCATTATTAACTGCTTGATTAGCCAGTTGGAAATCAAAGACGAGTAGCAACTTTGAACAGCCAGTAGTCATTAATTAGCATAGCATTTAAACAAAGCAAACAAAAGATACTCAAACGCATTCACAGACACGCAGATACTTCTCATACTTAAGTGCAGCTGTCTGCCTCATTGTCAGTCGGCGTTCATTTGTATACCCTGTAAGTGATTACAAAATGTCTGATAAGCTCATCCAATCTGCATCAATTGTCAAGTCGAGCAGCACAAATCTGCATAATCTGCTCAAATTTATTACCGCATTTGCATTGCTTTATTGACTGTCTTTCGAAATCCAATTTGTCATGGTAAGAAATAGTTTTATGTTAATAACTACCAAATTAATTAATTAATTACATTACATTAATTTGTTTGCCAATATTTGTTATTTGATCTTCTCAACTTTATTTATTTTTAATTAAAATTAATGTAAGATAAAATTTAAACAAAAATATATAAATTAAAAATAAGAAATATTTATAATATTAACTCTCTAAATATGTTCTATTATCTAGCTAATGATGAAGATGGGATTATTTTTAAATTTATAACTCAAAAATATTATATTTTAATGATATAACAAATTTAGTTATGGAATTTTTGGAAACACACTTTTTTGTTCCAGGTTAAGTGTTTTATTTATTTTTTTATGCATCGAATTTTTAATCGATTACCAGATTTGTTTACCAGAAATTCTTAATTATTCTAAGGCTCAACCGGTTAGCAGGGTATATAAAAGTCTTGCAGTCTTTCGACTGCTTCGTTCTAACTCGAATTTTAATGTTTGTCTTGCATTGGTCAACATTTGTTAGAAACTTAACGCTAGAATATTTCTATATCCGTCTATATTCATATCTAACAAACTGTTTGTTTTTCGATCTTGGCCAACACGTCAAAGAGTTGGCCCGAGCAATTGTGACTGCGTCAATTTGTTTATTTTGTTGCCATTTGTTTGTTTATTGTTTATGGGGTGTGTGTGTGTAGTAGTAGTAGTAGAAAGGGCCACTCGAGCTATTTGGGCAAACGTAGAATAACAATAACAACAACAACAACCACAAAAAAAAGTCTATGTACATTTTTATGATGCTGCTAAAAAATGTTTGAAATGTTTTTTCTAATACCTTTTGATCATGCACAGTTGTCGTCTCTGTTGAATAGTCTCAGGAGAAAAAAAAAAAACAAATGGAAAAAAAAACTACTCAGACAATGCTAACGCCCCCAACCCCGTTCTAGCCTTCGTCCCCGCCCCCGCCTCCGCTTGTGCTGCATTAGCATTAAATTGATTTTTCATTAGCTTGTGCCGGGCAAGAGGCTTGTACCGAATATCATCGCTAGAGTGTAGCTATAGGTGTATATGTATCTGTATCTGTAGCTGTATCTGTATCTGTATCTAAAGTTGTATCTGTTTCCATGGGACCTCATAAAAAGCCAAGCTGTAGGTTTTCATATTTGGAGTCGAGCTTGCCGCAAACTATGCACACAGCAGGCGCACAAAAATCCATTTTAAGATTTTGGATTTCTTGTTTGGTGTATTTTTCTTTTATTTGTGTGGGTTACATATTACACATTAGATTAGGCCTTATTGATTGTTAAGGGCAACCATAATGAACTTGTTTTTTGTTGCTGTTGCTGTTGCTGTTGTTGCTTGATTAGCTGAATGTGTTTGTGTGAGGCAAGGTCAATGTAATTAATGTGTGCGGTTGAAAGTTCGGTTGGGGCATGGAAAATAGTTTTTAGATACTTTGCACATGGGGCTGATTGATAAATTAGCTGCTAGAATTAGGTAATTTCCAAATATATGCTAAACATTGATGAACAAACAAAACAAGAATTTGAGCGAAAAATTAACATTTCGCTGGAAAATGTTTTCTTGATTTCAAATGCTTAAAATGCTATGCATAAACATTAAACACTTATTTAATTTATTGGAATTCTTGTTTATAGTTAACCAGAGTTCAAGGAACATCGAAAGTTCAAGCTTAAATAATGATCGCTAATTTCTATGTACATAAATTTGGTGACGATCAGATTGCTTTGTGTTTTGAATAATTTTATGCGCTATTTTATTAATTTGAGCACTCAAACTCAATTTGATTTCGGAGCAATTCACATGAGCTAATCATCTATATATGCTATATCTGTTTATTTTAGCGGCATTCTTTTGGGGCTGACTGTATCGAAGCACGTACAAATTCCATACGCTAATCGAGAATTATATTCTGACTTCTGCTTTTCAACTGCAGATAATGCACATTG